CCAGCGCTGTCCAAAGACGTTTCTGTGGTCATGTGGCCCGCATGACTAGACGCCAAGGTGCACGGAATGCTGTTACCTTCCCACCAAAGCGGTACCTATTTATCTACTTGCAATTTCTTGCTTTCAAACTGCTAGGTTGGCAGGAGCTGGGACCAGAGACGGGAGCTCACTCCGTCATGCGGCACCCGGGTCTCGAACTGCTGAACTACCAGCCTTCCCGTCTGCAGTTCAGCATCTTAACCACTCGAGCCACCGCAGGTTACAGGACACCAAATGGTGGCTTCATGACCCATTTACCTCTACAAATCCAGTGCCTGTTCAATATAGAGGAGCAGCCATTGGGACAGGCACTAAAAGGGACCCAGCAGGGAGCTGCAAAAGGCTACATGAGATGAAGTGTCAATTATTTCCCACAACCCTTGAGAAGGTTGATGATATAAGATAAGGAATAGAGAATATTGTAAAATGCAAAGGGAAGGTAGTATGTGGAGGCCAGTCAATGGTCCTTTCCGCACTTGGATCTCATCCCTGGTTTTATCAGAGTTCAACTCGTGACACAATACCTTGCATTTATCCCTGGTTATAACTGTAGGGCAGTGCAGGAATCTCCTGCCTGGAGATTGGAAACCCAGAAGTGTTTGTGTGCTAAGAGGAGTCTGGTGACTGCCTAACTAGGCAGTCAGTTAGCCTTGAGAAAGGGGGAGAGGCAGATAGCAGACAGCTGCCTGAAAACACACACACACACACATTCCAAAAGGATGCTCGAATGTTTGTAACTCCCTTACGGAGGGAGAGGGAGGGAGAAGGGGGAAGAAAGGTGTATAAATAAACGCTGGGAAGCCGAGAGGTTTCAGACAGTTCCTGCAAGCTTGTATCCTGTCGTCTTTGCTTCGCCTGCACCCCCACACCCCAAGGAGCAGCACCACATATAACAACATCCATTTATCCTGGGACAAGCGTGGGGTGAAACTGGGGTGACCCAAATGTAATGTGGAAACAAAAAAAAAAATAACCTGAGATAATTACAGGGGTGAACTCACGTGTACCATAGAGTTTGGGGACAGGGCTGAACCAGGATTTAAGGTCTGGTGCGGAAAGGACCTGTAAGTTGAATTTATAAATAAAGAAATAAATCCCGATCTTGTCAGACCTTGGCAGCTAGAAGAAAAATTCCAGCCATCCTGACTCGATGAGGAAAAGCAATCATGTTATGCATTAAGATGGCTGTGACCACGTGCACCTGGCCATGCTGTCGAACCAAACATGGACCTTTGAGTCTGAGAACAATAGACACCGTGGATCCTAGGCATGGACCAATGGGAGCGGCAGGATCCTGCAAGGAACCTATAGTTACTGAGGGCATATAACTAGAACCTATCACGGGAATCGGGTGTGTGTTGGGTGTGTGTGCAGACAAGAATATAAGCTGGCTGCAGACCGGCTAGTTTATCTTTTTCATTTCCTAATGTAATCCATAAACGTGAGCTGATTTCACCATGCTACGCCTGGAACTCCAGTACTTTTCAAATCACATCTAATATTTAAATCCATCTCAGGTTTTATAAATTTTGTTAGTCATCATTCTTGCATGAATAGCTGAAAAGCCTGTCCTCGTGATGGACAGATGCTACGTATATGAAGCGGCCTGGGGTTGCCAGCTCTGGATGGGGATGTTCCTGAAGATTTGGGGGGTGGAGCCTGAGGAGGAATGGGTTTAGGGGGGGAGGGAGCTCAGCAGGGTATAATGGCATAGACTTCCCCCCCCCAAAGCAGCCATTTTCCTCTAAGGAAACTGATTTCTCTCCTCTGGAGATCAGCTGTAATTCTGGAAAACCTCCAGGGCCTCCCTAGAGTTTGGCAACCAGACATGCAAGCCTTGAGGCCTTGACACCTAGATGGCTGTCAAGTAGGGATGCTGGTGTTAAGTACGCGGACCGCCACTAGGGGTCCACGGCACAGCAGGAGCTTGGCTCCCTTGAACAATAGGAACATAGGATCCTAGTTCCTCCCAGTCCCAACCAATAGCCACTTTGGCGGGAAAATTTAAACCCTCCAATGGACTAGGGGTGTGCTGGGTGGGGGGTGTATATAGTTGGCCTTGCAGGGCCGTTTTAGTTAGTCTGATGTTAAGTACAATAAACGTGTGCGACCGCATGTCCTTGTCCGAGTCCTCCATGCGGCGAACCCAGTACTTTTCACCGGCCTCCAGGTGGGACCTGGGAATCCCCTGGATGGATGACTGTGATGACTGTGACTGGAACAACAGAGACGTTCGTTTCATTCAACCCATGTGTAGTTGCATAAAATGAGACTAACTTTTGTGTCAAATCTTGAAATTTAATGGGGGGGGGGACATCCTCAACAGGAGCAGAGCTAGGGATGCCAGCCTCCGGGCGGGTGGCCAAGGGGGACCCGGCTATCCTACTATTAAGCATCATGGGGGGGGGGGACCCTGAAAAACCAATCTACATTAGAAAACCCATTACAGGAAAATTTCCCCCACTCCTCCAGTACACACTGCCCATGATCCCTTTCTCTCTCACCCACTGCATTTTGCTCCTAGCTCTGCCCAGGACCCCAGAAATGCTAAGTGCAAAACTAACATGATCTTTGGGGAAGCAGTTCATAGGCCTGAACATGTTTGGGAGGGACTATCTGCATAACCACCACCACCACCCCTGCAAAGATCCTTCCTTCTCATGGAGCCTCTATAATAAGGTCTAGCTTTGTCAAACTTCTACAAAACTTGGAATGCTTGGCCTGTCCGTAAGGATACTTTGAGCACCAGAGAATACTTCTATGTTTAGAATGAGCTAGTACTTCCACATTTCTCTTCTACAATTCCCCTCATTTGTCTATTTCTCGTGTAAGCTTTTCAAAACTGGATCTGAGCCTTAGGGAGATCTTATGCTAAGCTTCTCCCATAGGCCAGCTGCTCAGCTCATGCTACTTTGAGCACAGTGAGTGGTGGCACAGTGGGTATATCCCACTGTCTTAACATCTGAACTGTGTTAGTTCAAGCCCCGCACTGGTGTGAGCAGCCAGCCTGTTGTCCCCAGCTCATCGTCCACCCAGTGATTCGAAAGCTTCGGCGAGTAGATAAAATGGGAACCACTCCTTAGAGAGGGTGGGCACGCCAATCTCCCTTGTGGGAGGGCGTTAGCTGACGGTCAGATGTCCTGGTCAAGGCTTGGAAGGCAAAACAGCTTCTCGGCCACGAAAATAATTCCTGTAATGGATGTCCCGGCCAGGCGGTGGCAGTGTGGCGATCGACATATGGGTCCTGAAGCCTGGCCAGCAAGCAGCCGTGCGGGAAAATGACGGAGCCAGCCAGAAGACGTCTAC